TAAAACAATCACAGAAATAAAAATGACTCCATGCGCCATACTATTTCCATACGTTGGCCGTTAATGTGTTGTGTTGAGTTATCGAGAAACCGTTAGCAGCAGTAGAGCTTCTTGTAAAAAAGTTTGCCCAGTGACATATTGCCACCTTACCTATTTCTGCCACCAAGCAGTAATGTGAGCATTACATATGCGTTCCGATTCTGAAGGAAGCTGGTGAAATTACAGGCACATGGGATTTTTCAACTTATGTCTCAGGGTGACGGGCGCAAGGGCAGTCCTCAGACCTATCGTATTTAAAACTCTGAACGACAGGCGTGTCTTTTACCACCAGGCATACTAATTATTCATCCCGTCACTTGATATCATAAAAAAACGAAACAATGATTAATTTGCAGCATGTTGACGTGTGTTGATGCAAGCGAATTTAGGCCAAATACCCCCTTACCTTCATCGTTTTGATAATAATCTTCAAATATATATATATAATTAGTATAGTCATAGTCATAATAAATAAAAATATAGCACAGTCTCAGTAGAAAAAAGTAAGTAGTCTCATTGATAACAGATTTTTGTATACTTATCGAAGAAAATTTCGTACGTGTAGCGCAATCGTAATTTGACAGATAACATGACACATTTTAAGATAATAATGTAGAGTCGGACGATGACTTTTCAGATGTTCGGTTAGCTATTCAAAAAGTTGTACAATACCTACATTAGTAATTTGTACGAGGTCAAGAGCACGTCAATGTGCACTAAAGGTTTAAATTTAACTCTATGCCGCTAGCAATGAGAACGATCCAAAGCCCAAAGTGTCAAGCTTGATGTGCTCTTGTCTGTACAGTGCGTGGAGATGTTCACGATGTGACCAACGATAACAAACAACTTTTCTTAAAGAGACCATGTCTAATTCGCTAAAACAGTATTTTTTTATGATATTAACAGATGGAACGAACAAGTCGTGCGCCTGGTCGTAAGTGCCACGCTGACACTGCCACTGCGCCCGTCACCCTAAGACATGATTTGAAAAGTCCCATGTGCCTGTCATTTCACCGGCCCTACCCTTCAAAACCGGAATGCAGTAATGCATTACTGCTTGGCGGCAGAAATAGGTAAGGTGGCAGTACTACCCTGGACGAACTCTTGCACAAGGAGCACTACTGCTACTAAATTTTTGCTTTACACACAATATCTGATTGTATTTTATATGCGAGGAATAAATTGAATACAGGTTCACCCAGAAAGTCGTATAGTGCAGTCAAGAGCACATCAAGCTTGACACTTTGTACTTTGAACCGTTCTTATCGTAAGGGGCATAGAGTTGGACTTAAGTCTTAAGTATAAAGCTTAACGTGATCTTGACCCTGTACCATAACTGCAGTCACCGCAAGATTTTTCACACAAGTTTTTTTTACAACTTCTATATAAATGCGTTCCGGTTTTGACGGGTAAAGGTGTTAGTGGAACTACAGGCAAATGAACTTAACTTTATATCTCAGGATGACGGACGCAGTGGCAATGCCTCTCAGATCTTTGCGATCTAAAGCTCTAAGTGGCATCTTGTTTTATTCTCCGGTCACTTGGTAACAATAAAAAAAATACAACTTCTATACTACTTCGTTCTGGTTTTGAAGGGTAAGAGTGGTGGTAAAACTATTGGCATTATGAACTTGTCAACTTTATGGTTCAGGATGGCAGTACCCCTCTGATCTTTGCGATATAAGCACTAAGTGGCAATGCAACTGCTATGGGTACCTAGACGTATTCCGTCAGTTGATAATCATAAAAAAATAATAGGGTAGCCTGGTTTAAGACGACGCACTTAAGGTTTGAGACCGTGTAGAATGAAAACAAGAAGTGTTAGAAAATCAGCTATTGTTTTATTTTATAGTCTACTTATCTGACTCTTACATACTAACGTGAAAAGTAGTTATATTTAATAATGTGGCTGTAATTGATAAAAAAGTGCAAAGTGGGATTTGCGTACTTTTACACTGTACTATAGGTAAGAGTACGCATGTGCGTCGGCAAGACTACGCAACACCTTTTTTGAAAGGACTTCGTTTGTCGGTTGCACGAATCACCTCCATACCTTTCTGGTAATGTGATTTTTGTCTCGGTGTGCGTGGGCCTTTGCTCATGGAGAGCTGAGAAGGATCTACTTGTGGCACGGACATACCTCAGTTAGGGTGGTGGTGGTGCTTCAGGCGCACTTGCACCCGATATTTCATACATATTCGGAGCACATGCGTCAGGTCTGCTAAACCTTCAAAAATACTAGACTCTCACTTTTGTGAGAGTCTAGTATTTCAGTTGGTTTAGAACGAAGCATAGCGACAGAAATTATATTCAGAAGTACACTTTTCTAAAAAAAATGGTATGGCACTCTTGCAACACGTCGAGTTGCGTACTCTTGCATACTTCAGCCAATTCAGAATAAAACTGCTACCAATCCCATATGTTGCAAGTGACCAGAATCGTTTGCAGTTTGACCTCTACACGCGTTTTTGGGCGATTTCATACAAAGTCAGTTTTAAAGAAATATGCTTAGTTTAGTCTCAGTAACGATTTGAAAATATCAAAAAGTTTTATGCAAATACATCAAAATGTTCAGACTTAGGTAAGCACTACAAAATGACACTGAACTTAGTACGCAACCAAGTTGTAATTGTAAATAACTTCTCGGCAATCTACATTGCGTACTCTTATCGGATTCGTCATCTTAGACCAGGCTACCCTACACTTAAAATAATACAAATTAAATTATGTTCCAGAAGACATTCATGTAGACAAAAGGTTTAAAAACAAAATCAAGGACAAATACTATGACGACAATTTTAAGACTTAAACAAAAGTTTAAAAATACCAGCCAGCTAAAACGCGTATCAAGCTGTATCAACAGTATAATATTCCAGCATGAATGACATTCACGATTATTGTATACAAAATTTACGTGAAAACTAAGCTTAGCCATTCTGATGCAAATATTCTAGGACATTTGTCGCGTCTATTTTGAGCTCAAACAAGTAAGGTCATGACTGGATATAGATAGATACAAGGGAAGCTAGTCACGCCAAACGACAAAATGCCGTCAAGTTGCCGCCGCCGCCTTGGAAAGTACCATTCGAAGACAGTACCAACTTTGTCACGCATTCAAACTTTTGTAGTATGCGGAAATACGTTTTCAGATTATGCGTTAAAGTATATTAAAGGAAGTTACGAATGTATTGCATTTAGCTGATTTTATTGCACTTTACAAAGTTGTCTTGCGTTTGAAACTTGCTTGTCAATTGTTGAGCCTAAAGTATATTTTATTGTACTAATTGCTTAAAAGTTAAGCAAAAATATAGATTACGATCGATATTGTGAGAGATGTCCAAGGCTTAGATTTATAAAACGAACCTTGACTTTGACTAAGTCAACTTTAAACTTAGGCACAATTCGTTTCGTAAATACAAAATACTTGCTTAGTTCGCAATTTTTGCTTAATCGAAGTGAAAGTTCGTTTTATAAATCTTAGCGTAAGAGAATCACTACACTTATTAACGCGAAAACGGCTTGAGCCGAGAAGAAAAACCTTTGTCCATGCAATAACAACGAACGTTTTAACTGTAGTCGTTCGTCGTCAACAACGTTCTTTTCGCTCCTATGGGATGCTCATAGAGATTTTTCGAAACGACATTTTCCAGACGATTGTACATCGATTAATGTGGTGATTTTCTTAGGCGAAACTGAGTATGTTGATATTCTATCTTTCCGGCTCAGTCTTGCCATTTAAACCGCTGCGCTCTGTCCCAACTAATTAATTATTTTATTGAATATCTTGATTTTGACTACCCTACATTGAAAATACTCTACTACTTTGTTTTAACTATTGATACAAAAATTGAACAAACACAAACTAAAATTCCTACGATTCGCCCCGGTATGGCGAGGTCGCTGGTCCGAGTCCAGCCTTATAGCTTTTGACAATATAACCACCGTACTCAGTACACCATCTGTAGTTTAACAAACTTTTATTTTCTATTTTTTCATCAATAACAATGGAAAATTAACAAAACCGGGTATATGAGACCTGTTAACTATAGACTGCCGGTGTGAGGTGTCAAACATAGATTAAGAGAACACACAAAGGCGTGAAAAATTGTCATTCTCTTTCAAACAAGGGCGATCCTGCGCCCCTCACTTTCCAGCAAGTACATCCGTTAAAACTTGGACTTTATAACTTGAGAGTTTAGGTTTGTTATTGAAATAGTGGAATAGGGAGAGACGTTAGCAATGTAATTGAATGTATCTAAGTTGGATTAAAGGAATTACAATTTGTATCGCTGGTAAAAAACGATTCGCAGTAAAACATTGTAGGGGACGTAATAGAGCTGCAGGTGCACTAAAACTAGAAAATATACGGGATTATCTTACTTATACCGGGTGTAACAAAAATGCGTCGTTACGTCAGCTGGTGATCGTATCCATGATATCAAAAAAAAAGTCACCAATAAAACAAAGCAAACGTAGTTTCTTACTGGGAAATTTAATTAAATTATATATTAAATTATCATAAATATTACAAAATATGTGTCGACTGACCGTGCACATTTTGTAAGGGGATAAAAAATATTTACGCAATTATAAATAATTACATTAACATTATTCCTAGCACAAGTTATTTTATTATGAATATACTCACCCTCTCGAATTGTCCCTTACAACACATATGGTACGTTCGAGGAAGTCCCGCGTTCAATTGCTGATAAGAGCAATTAAAGAAAAGAACTTTTCTAAACTGGTTCCAGCTGATGTTTTGGTTAGTGCACACGGAATTAATTTCATTATATGGTTCTTAAACCACACAGAATTCTCCAAGTTTGAAAATGAGTAATTGGTGTGATTCACTGGGACCCATAACTATTAATTTAATATTTTGTACACATATGATAAAAGGAAAATGTGTGACGTACATTAAAATTTTAAAACAAAATTCTTAATAAACTAGCACTTACCTGGCCGCTATCAAAATTGTATGCCATTGTGGAAAATTACACGATTAAAAACGAATTAATAGTAAAAAAATCGAAAATATTACAGACATAGAAAGCGCTTACGAAAATCAATATATTTTTTTAAATTGGTCAAAATCAGAGCCGAAAATCATTTTTAAAATTTTGTCTATGACGGCGGGCGTCATTTATTTTGTGTGGAAAACTGGGAAAGTCTATTGGCTCAACTGCGTTGTTGCCATGGCAATATACGTTTGTAGTTATAAAGGAGGTTTTATATCTGGCAAGGTTCATTGCCTTCCGTGTGCTCGAAATTACTTTGAACCTGCTGCGAAATTAGAACTGAGGGTGTCTGGCAATGAGGTCCTCCAAACTTCACCACGTGTCAGGGACTTATATGATTACTTTGAGTAAGTAGTTATAATGAACGTAAGCATTATGCTTGGAATGACGAATAAATTATTAAAAAAGTTAAAACTATTTCAAATTCGGAATGAAAACTTGGCTAATGAAAAAAATGATAAAGCCTTAATAAAATAAAACGTTGAAGAAAAATTTAAATCTAAGATTTGGTTTCTACTAAATGGCTTAGACGCCTTAGCCTGTTCCGCAGGACGAAAAATTTTACTACAATGACAATAAGTACCTATATCAATGACATATAATTTGTATAATATCACATAAAGATGTTATTTAGTTAGAAAAGGAACTATAACAATGTCATTGCCAGTCTGCCTACATAGAACAACATTGATGATAAAATATCCTATTATTACCGAAAGGTGCAATTTTGTGTTTTAAAATTTAGAACACATACAACAAGGTATATATACCTGTAAGTAATCATCGGTATACATTACTTAAAATGGCTGAATATAGATTAACATGAGTCCTATAACTCAGGTTGAATCCACTTACTTATTGATATAAAAGTAAACAAAATTCGCAAACCAAATTTTAAGCAACTTGTTTTGTATTTCATAAAACGTATTTTATGCTTCAATATCAAGTTGGATTGGCTAAAAAGTCCGTGCAATATCAAAGTAGAAATGAATAAAAAAAATTAAATATCAAACTAATCAGTTATGTACTGGCCACGTTGAATAAAATCTTTCGGGTAATTTTAGAATTAATACAGCTCCAACGTTTGATGGTCTCTTCGTTATCAAAGTCGAGTCGAGACTAGTAAAAATCTGAAGAGGCTATGTCGGGCGATTACAATGGATGAAGTAACACCCCAATCTAACTACAATAGTTTTTGACGGCTTCGTATAGATATGTGTGGTTTGACATTATCATAATGAAAGACGACTACGACATTTACGATTCACAAGTTGTGAGTGAATTTCATGAATTTGTAAACTTAAAACTTTCCCGCCTATATTGAAATTGCTCGCTAAAATAATGTTTTTCAAGTGACCACAGATAATATAACATTTTAAAAGATTTTCTTTTTCTGGTGGCTAAAACAGCACGGACTTTTTGACCACCCCATTACTTACATACAATGAAACGTAGGTACGAATTTCGCTAACGAATGGTATTTTTAATTGAATGAGACAACTCCATTCTATTTTACTACATTCTGAACAATATGAATTCGATGATAGAATACAATTCGTTTTATAATTGTAGATTCGTATTAAAATGTAAAATTATATCGATTTATCTTGAATCCGTATATTTTCAACTAAACTTTATTACTTATGCTTATGATAATTTATGCAATAGAACTGGTACCACCCAGCGATGTCTTCAGTTAATAGTATTACATGATTTCATTACTAACTCTGCATACCTAGACTTAACGAATTGATAAAATCAATCATTTAAATGATGCGATTACTACGCAATAGTGCATCTTTATCAAACGTTTTAATGGTAAATTTATTGTTGTTCCATCACCGCGACTTTTTTTTTTAGTACACCATGTGACGAGACGAACAAGTCGTGTGACTGGGTACAGTGGCAGTGTCATTCAGAACTTTGAACCGCAAACTAATTACTCGGCGTACTAAAACAACACCCAATATATTTCCGTAAATTGAGAGAATAATGAGCAAAAAAGTCTAGTGGTTACTCTTTGTAAAATAAACGTTTGTACACATTTTGTCATTTACAATATTTATTTCAAACATCGAGACAACTTGCGACAGATCCTTAGTATTACAGATTATTGTCATCCAAGTACGCAGAAATTGTGTAATAGCCTTTGGTATAAAGTGTTTATTTCTTTATAGTTTTAAACCTCGTGAATGGCAAATTTTGAATATCAACCAGAATCTTATTATAAAAGCGTATACATTGCGTCTTAATTGAATTTGTGAGTTTGTGAAGACGACGGTCAATAACAGTCAGTTTATTCCTCGTATTAATGTTATGTCTTTCACTATTTTTCATAAAAAAATACTATTCTTCTTTATACATATACCACGTTTTCATAAATGTACTGTGACGTTAGTGTGAGAATGTTAATTTTTTGAACTGAATACACACCACAAATTGTTGGTGGATAATGGGAGGCTGTTTCACCACTTGACTCTAATACTTGCGATGTTATCATCTGTCTCCTGGAATTGTGCCTAGGTTTCTTTCTGCTATATCCCATTTAAATTATCTTATCCATGCTACAGTGACTGTAAATCGATCGTTTTCCTTTATAACAGCGCACGCAAATATGAAATTATACGATGACAAAGTTGCGGTAAAAATCATGTACAACTTACATCCATAAAAACAGTTATAGGACGACGTAAGAAATACGCCGCCGAAGCGAAGGTCACGGCAAACGCTAATTTTCTTTACTGCGACATCGCCAAACTAGACACGCGATCTGGATATTCCTACAGATTGTTTTTATTCCTCGTTATTAGACTTGTCAAGAAAAAGCAGTTCATTTTCCTACCTATTTTAAACCTTCCTATATCTTGCGTATCGTGAACATGTTATTCAGGACGAGAATTTTCGTAAGTAAGTAAGTAAGAGTAAATTACTGTCATAACTTCTTGAATTAATTTATTACAATCGTAATTCGACGAACTATAGATAAATAGCTTTATATCGTTCATGCACTAGACATAAAAGCCGAAACAGAAAGAACCTTCCCAAATTCCCATTATTTGGTAATGCCCTGAAAGGGATCCAGAAGTTACCAATTACTGTAGAACACCTGTGTCCCGGTTCAGGATCCCAGGATCAATAGGCGGGGCTCCGCGGGATTGGTCGAAGCTTGATGGGCGGGGCACATCTGGGATGCAATAGAGATGCTGTGAGATAAAGTTAGTACACATCTGAAATAATTTTCACTGGTATAAACTTCGAATGCTTTAAGATTTAACAATAAATTTTAAAATTTTAAACCAAAAAATGTCTTTAAAATGTCCCGCTGTTACAAAACACGTGTAAATAAATTTAATAAAATGGCACGAAAGCGAAGCATCAATTAACCCTTGTTGCCCGGTTCTTTTAGTTGTGCGTCCGTACTGCGCGTGCATTTTTCTTGGCGGTGGTGGTGAGGTGCGGTTGGCAGCGGCAGTGGTGGTGAGGTGCGGTTGGCAGCGGCGGTGGTGGTGAGGTGCGGGTGGCAGCAGCGGCGGCAGCTGCTTTGGAATAGATTTAATATCTAAACCTCACGTATTAAAGAAAATTTACTCATCCCTAAAAATATGTAAAACTAGCCCATCAAACCACACAAGCTAAGTTCTATTTTTTTATTTTTGATCATTAAACATGTTTAGTTCTGTCTTAAACTGTCTTAGACATGTATTTTATTTTTAAAACAATAATAAATTTACAGGCGTCCCGCTCTGAGGGGAGGAAATAGTGGTCACGTTACGTTTATACCAATTATTACATATTGTGAGACACTTAAGTGTCTTATAACGTTTATTCAGAAGTCAGTTAGTCTCACGGCTGGCCACAGGCCTCTTCTCACACTGAGAGGGCTTTAACCCACGCAGACCTAATGCCGATTGGTAATTTCATATATAACATTAAATTGTTTTGCTGTGTGTGCAGGTTTCCTAACGATGTGTTTGTTCGTCGAAAAGCTCGCAATAAATTTGAAATAAAATGTTAAACATAAATTTCGACAAGTCCGGATTCGAACCCTCTACCCTCTGCTTGAGAGGCGTTAGGTGAAACCATTAAGTTGCCATGGCTTTTATAGACATACAGAGCTACAACTTACTTTTAAATACTCTGCCAAATGTCTGTGTCAAATCAATAATAACATCATTTTGAGAAAATACTGCAAACAGAATTTTCCGGCTTTTTGTAGGTTTTCAAATTGATAACATAAAAAAAACACATTTAAATTTCTTTATAAGTACTTAAGATATTAAAGAATTCTGTAAAGCTATTACAATTTTACTTTGCAAAATGATCTCTATTGCAAAACAAATAAATTTATTTTCCCTCGACATCAATCGAAAAATTTCCTGTTGTAATGAAATTGCAAAACACTGTACGTGATTGCAGTGTTTTGATTTGATACAAAAGAACTTAGACCTGCACTATGCAATTACTCATTCAATTATAAATACACATACATGTTTATTTAATAAAGCTAACCAATATTTTTTTATATTTAGCGTTAAATATAAAGAAAAACACAATATAATTAGTACTATATAGATATGCATTTAAATTAAAAGTATGCACAGCATTATGCATAAAGTTATTGTTTTGGAAGCACGTGAGTATGACCAGTCTGTCTATATAAAACTAGACTTTCTTTACAAGAAATTCAGTCAATTTTGTATTCAACAATTTGATACCTATACTACTAACAAGTCTAAAAATTATTAAAAAAGAAATAAAAACTCGACTGCAAAAATATTTAAACATAATAGAGGAGTTAATGTTATAAAATATTAACTGCCCGTCACTATTTTGATTTTTTTTCACCTCACATGTCAAAATCAATGAAGCCATTTATGCTGTACAGGGGAACACATAGAAATGGACATACATACACTAGAAAAACATAACCCTCTCGCAGTCGGGTAAAAACAGAAAAAATCAGAAAAAAACACAGAGCTAAATACAACTTCACTAGTAAAATATTCCTAGACTGCTTACCTAAAGCTGTGATATTGATCACTAAAAATGTCCAGTTCACAATTTTGAAAAATTTCATTGTATCTTCTCTGAAGCAAAGCAGAGACATACTAACATAATTGGTTTTTCTCAGTTCATTTGCTAAAGGTTTGCAATTATGCAGCCTACTCCTAGCAGACATTCTAGGCATATTTAAGTTTATTTAGGATAGGAGGGACAGACAACCTGTATCATGATTTAGTGTAACATACATATACTATCTTTTCGATCGCAAAATAAACAGACTCGTGTAACACCGCCTTACATTTGAGAGGGTTGTCGGTACATCCCTCCGAACGGAATTACAAAGAGAGGGATGCTGTTCTCTTTAACAGTACGACTTCGAGAGAGGACCAGCGAGGAACCACGATAGTGATTTTGTGCAATTTGTGAAAAGTGGTGTTTGAGGAAAAATGTTTTGAAAACTTAAATAACCACATTTTAACTCGCCTTTATACTAACGTAAGCCTAAACCTATTGATTAATATACAAATCGCACTGCTATTACAATAGTGTTGTAACTCAAAATATGTGTAAAATTTGATTCTCTACACGTCAATAAAACCGTTGTTAAAATATTGTAAGAAACAATTAAAATAAATCTTTAATAAATAAATTTAACTCAAAATGAGACAAACTTTTTGCGAACTATTTCTGGATAAAACAGTCTTAATTATTTTTTCCTTTTATTTGGCTAGTAGGGAATTGTTTAGATATCTGTAATAAATAAACTTTAACCTATACATAAATTTTAATAATATTTCGCAGGAAGTGAGTGTTTTTCATCGATTCTGAATAAATACACTTTTTGAGTAAATACACTATTGTATTAACAGTGCAAATAGTTTTTATACTTCTTTATATTTTTCTAACGTATTTCAAGAGTCAAGTTCAAACATCTCCTTCGAAGACTTAAAATTATTTCCCAAAATATATTAAAACTCAATGTCTATGAAAATACAAACCACATTTAAATTGTTACATTTCGGGAGCAACTCGTACTTATTTAAACTAAACACAACACTGAAAAAACATTGTGATTGAAATAAACAAAATGTTGTTTAAGGTGACACCTATTTTAGACAATCTTGAGAAATGATTAATTCTTTGCTATCAATTTGTCAATTGAGTATACATTACGTGGTTGATTAGTATGTCATGGTACGAATATAAGTAATATTATTTAAGATTGCTTTTTGAAAGGTTATGGTAGACACTCAGAATCTATTGCAGCAACCGTTTAAATTCTTCAATTTAATCATGTGATTCCTTTCATCAAGTTATCTCGATAGGCTTATGTGATTTCGTGAATATACAGGATATAATGTTTGTCAAACTTTACAAAATAGCTTATTTTTATTTTTTATTTATTTAATACATTTTACAAAGGTTTTTATTAATCTAATACATTGCAGCTGTAGCTCAAAACCACTCAGGGCTTATCTGTCCACAGCGATTCGCTCTAAGAAAATTTTATTAGTTTTTATCTTTTGCATTTTCCTTCCACATACGAATCTTGAACGCACGTAGGAAATTCATTCAATAGTTTAGTAATCATATATAGTATTGAGCAGATTTTTTTTAAATTGAGATTTCAAATTTGTTTGGTCTCAAGTAAACAGATAAATTACGTACATAATTAAATTAGTTGGAATAGACAACTTGATTTATCATAAACACATCAAAAAATAAACCAATAAATAAAGCTATGACTATTAAATTGGGAAACTCATAGCTTATGTGTCTACAGTCTTAGTGTAGTGGCTTGGTAAAAACATCATCTACCGTTATATCTGTAGGAATGTAGGAAACTTGATCATAGTTTAGGTAAACATTAAGAATGTATCATCTTTGACACAATCTACTCGCAAAATAGGCGCCGAAATGTTTAGTTACGGTACATATACCAGCCCGTCACACCATACAATACCGTCATCATCTATTATTTCATCTTAGTTTTATGGTTGTTTTTATTATCCTCAAGCTTATGTATTATTACTAGAAGTATTAGCAGGAAGAGTTTGTACAGGGAAGTACTGCGTTCCGGTTTTCAAGGGTAAGGGTGCTGGTGAAATTACAAGCACATGGGACATGCCAACTTATATCTCAGGGTGACGGGCGCGGTGGCAGTGCCCCTCAGATCTTTGCAATTGAAAGCTCTGAGTGGCACTGCAAATGTTATAAACAGGCAGGTAGCTTACCGTCAGGCGCACGACTTGTTCGTCTTGTTACTTGATATTATAAAAAAAATCTTTTTCTCTCTCTGTTATATCAAAGGTATACGGAACAATATTTCGTACATGAAACCCAATACTTACGGAGTAACTCAATAATGGTGGAATTAGGAAAACACGAAAGTTCAAAAAATCACTGAATGGATCTTATTGCGAAAAATGGGAGTATTTTTATTTATACGTAATAATTAATTATCCACTTATAAACGAGAATATAAATTTATTGGTTCCATTCAATATTTTTTTGTAACTTTCAAACCGTGTTTTCTTAATTCCACCGTTATTGAGTTACGACAGTATTTTTTCTTGTGCGACTTGTAGGTTTGTTAACGTTCGTTTAGAATAAGAATTAGAAGCACATAATTATAAATAAATATAAAAAATATAATAAAAAAAAATATATAATAAAATAAAATAAAAAATATTTCACCTCAATATATTTTATCTATTACCAATTATTAAAAATGCCTCCCTCTCGTTTGCTGTGCCCGACAGGGTCCATACATGATCTATTATATTATATACTTTGTAACACCTTGTAAACATATGGAAAAGCAATAAAGATTGAGTATTGAGTATTGAAATTAAATACGCACAGGTTAAGTCTGTGTCGAATTTCTGCCTTAGCAGTATTTCGAAAGCGATCGCAGTCATCGATTCGATACGGTTGCTAAACATGATTGGATTATTGGAGGGGCAGCAAAAAGAATAAATACGGATTTATTATCCCCTAAAGACTGTCTTTAGCTCGAGGTGTGAACTCGTGATGTTTTATTTATCGAAACAACCCTTGCGGCCAGTTTATTTGATTTGATCGGGAATCAAAACAAGACGAGAGGAAGGGTAGATAAAGGGGATGTTTTCTTTGGTTACGTGAGTTTTGGCTACTATAAAGAAAAGTGAAATATTTATCTTCTTTTGAGATATTCGAAGAAAAGACACATTAGAATTTGAGCATAATATTAATAGTTGGTGTGGTATGAAATTACTGCAAGAGAAAAGTACTTAGATATTTTTTAATTTCTTCAGCAGCAGTAGGGCTCCTTGTGAAAGAGTTCGTCCAGGGAAGTACTGACCTTACCTATTTCTGCTGCCAAGCAGTAATGTTACCATTACTGCGGTCCGGTTTAGAAGGGTAAGGGTGCTGGTGAAATTATAGGCACATGGAACTTGTCAACGTATGTCTCAGGGTGACGGGCGTGCCCCCCAGACCTTTGCGATTTAAAACTCTGAGTGGCACTGCAACTGTCATGGACAGGCGTGTAGTTTACTTGAAATTATAAAAAATCTAAATTCGGAGATGAGTTTCAAAAAAAATTATGGAATAGTTAAAATATGTTTTTGATATTAAGCAGTTTATTTACGTTAAATATAGATAAGACATATTTTACACAAAAACTTTCATTATATTTCAATTGCTATTTAAAAAAATATTTTTTTCTTTTAACTCTGTACAAAAAAAAAATTGTTAATAATATTATTACTGCTACTTATAAAGTGCATAACTAACTTAAATGTGACTTTTAACAACTTGAATTATAATAATAATAATAACGCACACACTCAACATAGCCCCGCACTAGGGAAACCCTGTGTCGCGGGTGGCATGGACACATACATAGACAAACCCAAATTACACCCAAACTCACGAGAGAAATAAATGTAGGCCATACAAATATTTCTCCCGGCCCGGGAATCGAACCTAGGACCTCTGCGTGGCAGTCCGGCATGGTAACCGTTCGGCCACGGAGGCAGTTAAAAATTATTAAAAGCTAAAAATTATAATAGAACTAAAGGTCACAATTACAGACAGTTGTGCCTTTTTTGTGTTATTTGTTAGCTACATAGCTCAATTCCAATAATGACTTCTATTATACTATTATGTAGCACAGTGTCCTACATTATAAAGTAAAATCCTTCGATATTAGTATTTTTAACTTAATCAAATTCAAATATTCCTTTTTACGGTAGAAAATCTGATTATTGACGTTACTAACGCCTTTTAAGCTTTTTAATATCGAACAATTATTTAAATAGATTTCTACAAAAAATGAAATAGAATTGACCTTTCTTCCTGATCCCGAACATGTATCTCATGTTTGATAAAAAACAAACAGCAGGTTTTATACAAATTAACAAATCTCCTTCTTATATGCTCATAAATGTTGATTGTCTGTTTGATATTACAGCGCTAATGCTAATTGACCTTTTCATGGAAACTAACAGCTATATACATACATAGATCTCAAAAACCAACTACGGCCTTCATAATACAATTTCCAAGTGCTTTCTGAAGTATCAATCCGACCGATCCGAATATCAACAACGTACTGACAAAATTAGAATAGAATACAATAGCAATCATTTATTCCGTATAAAAGCCCAGTACACACGCTAGACGAGTGTAACTACTATACATGATACTTAGTATTTTTAGATATTAGACTTAAAACAAATGGAAAGCACAACATGCCTCATCACATACTGGTTAACAAATAATACAAGTGAAAAAAAATCTCAGTAGAGAGTACTAAAAAGTCGGCCTCAAAAGTTCGTAGAATTACATCTATTTGCCAAGTTAAAGTTTAGTTAAGTTAAAGTTTGCCAAGTAAGCGAAACCGGATTCGTTCTAAAATATTGTCTAAGAGGTGAAATATTTTCTTCAAACTTAAATAGGACCAATATACTGTATACTGGACCAATATAATGTAACCTCATTCCAACAAAAAATGAATGATCAAAATCGGTTCATAAATAGAGTTATCGCGTAACATACATACAAAAAAAACCTCGAATTGAAAACCTCCTTTTTATGAAGTCGGTTAAAATTTAAATAATTTTGTAACGAAGTGGGAAATGAATTTCCAGTTCCGTTATCCTCCAACTTGGTATGTGATATGTGAAGTGGTGACCTCACAGTTTCAAATAAATAAAATATGCTATATCGTTCAAGTTTAAAATAATATCAGTAAATGAGGAAATAGACGTTGGCCGTGGATATTACACCTATGTTGTAGATATTCCAAAAATTCTAAAAAAAAAGTAATATACTAAAATAACAAAATACATTTTTCTGTTCCCTTTTTTTATAATGGCAAGTAACGGGACGAACATGTCGGGCGCCTGATGGTAAGCTACACGCCTGTCTATAACAGTTGCAGTGCCACTCAGAGCTTTAAATCTCAAAGATCTGAGGGGCACTGCCACAACGCCCGTCACCCTAAGTGACAAGTTCCATGTGCCTGCCATTTCAACAGCACCCTTACTCTTCAAAACCGTACATACATACAATACATACTTTTTTATTTTTAACCAAGACATATGCAGAGTGTTACGCAACTAAATGGAAAGATTGTTTTTCATATAATTCTATGCTTTATTTAGAACTATATGAGATTGTTTGTTAATTCCCCGGACATCAGCAAGTCATTTCCAAATGTTAGTACACCTTTTTGTTACAACCTGTATGTAATCGTCACAGAGCCACTATGAAGAGCTGGCTGGAGACAGCTGGCGGCATGGAGGACGAGTCCATGCCATGCATGCTGGTGGAACCTAGAGAAGCGCTATTGCCCATCACTGGAAGGGAAAACCTGGCTCCTATGAAAAGGTAAGTGTATAATATCCCAAACCCCTAGGATTTCCTTTGCTCCTCTGGACTCCTAACCCCTGGTGTATGAATGGACCCTACATTATTATTGTAAGTATGTAAATACTTATGTAACTGTTACACCTCTTTCCGCGTTAAAAATTGGACTCCCTATCACTATTCTTTCCAGATAAATAACTTACATTCATCGCTAGTGTTTTGATTTTTATGATACCAAGAGACGCGACGAACAAGTCGTAGGCCTGGTGGTAAACGACACGCCTGTCTATAACAATTGCAGGGCCGTTCAGAGCAATATATCGCAAAGATTTGAGAGGCACTGCCACTGCGGTCGTCGTCTTGAGACATAAGTTGAAAAGTCCCATGTGCCAGTAATTTCAACAGCACCCCTTACCCTTAAAACTGAACGCTCTCTGAGATAACTTTTGGCGGACAACATTTATTTGGAAGAACTCATTCACAAAAAGCTCTACTGCTAATAAGTTATATGAAGTATCGAGTTCTTAGGTTTTCGCGATTGTTACACATAGGAAATGAAACTATTTTTCCGGATTTAAATCGCGTATATTTGTTTTTTCAAACAAACCGACGTTTCGGGCCCTTTACAGGTCCCATGGTCACGGGTGACTGACCTGGTCACGGTTAAATGACATGAGACCTGTAAAGGGCCCGAAACGTCGGTTTGTTTGAAAAAACAAATATACGCGATTTAAATCCGGAAAAATAGTTTCATTTCTTATATGAAGTAGTCAATTATCGATGAATTAGCCGATTATGAATTGTAAAACTTTAAACATGTAATAAAAAAGGCCGCAAAAAAGAATTAAAACAAACAAAAATGTTATATAAACACGCATCATATTTACCTGCTTATTGGTATAAAAAAACTATTTTTTCTGAATCTGAAATCGTGTATTTGTTTTTTCACAACGAATGTTCCAGCTCTTTATAGTTCCGATCGCCATGTCTAACACCGTTTTTAACCGACTTTAAAAAAAAGGAGGAGGTTCTCAATTCGTCTGCATGTTTTTTTTTGTATGCATGTTACGCGATAACTCCGCCATTTGAGAACCGATATTGATGATTCTTTTTTATTGGAAAGAGAGTACCTCAGAAGTGGTCCCATTTAAATTTGAAGAAAATATTCCACCTCTAAGGGTGGTAAACTAGGGGATGAATGACTTTTCAGGTCGGTTTTTTTAACCGGAGGTTAGGTTATATTAACTTCCGATTCAAAACGTAGGGAGTTATAATTTTGTAGCCTTTATATGTGTTCACTCAATTTTAAACGATATTTCTGACTACAAACATACTTTACGTGGCTTGAAAAGAAATCAGTAATTAGTTAAAGTTTTTCGGTATATTAATGTTCAAGACAGTGGTCACTTTTTTCTTCTCTTTGCAGCCATGGTCGTGTAATGCGAAGAAAAAAGACCCGATGGTTTCGTTTGGGGCATTATAGTCAAGTTAGCCTGCATGCAATCATAATGCAAGTGTGGTGAAAAATTACTTACTAATTAAGTTTACTAAATGTCAAGATAAACATTTTGACATTTAGTCACCATAGTAGTCGTAATTTATTGTGAAATTACTCCACTAGTTTGTTTTAATTATTAATGAAGAAATAGATTTCTCACAGATGGCACTACGGCAAAAAATATATACAACAAGCACACGGAAAAATTCGTAAAGTCTGTTGGTTCGTACCGTGGCTTACTTGCCATGGTATCTGGCATGGTTTGCTAGAAGGCGTTGATTCGAATCCAGCCGGATCGAAGAAACTCTTTCTAAGTGTGCAATCTTTGTATTAGTAATTATGACTTTACTAAATTAGAATAAGTGTCGTGTTTTCAGATGATTAGATACGTAGTTTTTATAGACAAAAATAAATCATTAAATAAATGGTTAAAATGAGTGTTTTATAGAGAAAAATAAAAGATGAATATTTTCCACATTCTTGTAGCACTTACTTGGGATAAAAACATAATTTAATTATTTTGTTTCCAGAGAAAGAGTCCTAGAGTCGTGTGCAATATCAGAAGAAGCATACTTATCAAGCGGAGCTGGATCTCCCTGTGCAGGTTTGTCCCGTGAAGAGCGCCGGCGCAGACGACGAGCTACACTCAAATACCGCACAGCTCACGCTACAAGAGAACGAATCAGAGTTGAAGCATTCAATGCTGCTTTTGCAGCCTTAAGGAGACTGTTGCCAACTCTACCGCCAGACAAGAAATTGTCTAAAATTGAAATCTTGCGCTTAGCCATTTGTTACATAGCTTATTTAAATCACGTGTTAGAGGCGTGATGTGATGTTAATAATATTAATTCGCATTCTTCTCTAGTAATTTTACCAACGACATATGTATTATATGAACCGATAATAGAGAAACTTGTAAACGCCTTAAAGGGGTTTCGTAATTTCTCTATAAGAGGCTCATAGATTATTACGATTTTCATTTGTTATTTGTCGTCTCGTGTATCTATCTATATTAGTAGGTTCAAAATTAAATACCATTCTTCAAAAACAAAATCGTGTAATGTTATTTTTGAAAATTACAACTTAACATTTTAATTTTTGATGGCTTTCCTTATAATTATTGTAAATTATGTACATTTGTAAACCGACCTAGATTAATTTATACAATATGAGAAGGCCTCAGCTGGTAACATTCATAAAATTCTTAGCTTGTTTTCCTTTTCTTAAAACTGTTCAAATAACTCAATAAAACTGGGAAGAAAATCATTCCGTGAATAAAACCTACTATAACCAAACTGAAGAACATTCTAAAGAAAAACACTTCAATAATTTCTGTGTAAGAGAATGCCAGAACAACTATAGGAATGTTCGTCAAAGTGATACCAGTTATAATGGTAGAACCAACTTGTTTCATTGCATCCACAACTCTTTCATCGGGTGCACATTCGCTAGTGGCGAACGCATACGCAATGTGACTGCAGAACTCGACAGCTATACCTAATGAGACAATTAAATTAACACAAGAAACCGCATTGAGAGGGATGCTCCAAATAAACATAACGCCCATCACGTTCAATACAACCATTAGAGCTGTCCATATAACAGCAAATGTCGTCAAGATATTAAATCCTGACGCTAGGAGATTAAAGACAAAAGCTCCTATCAAACAGTATCCTAAAGAGGCGAAGGTATCACCCCACATTGTTAAATATTGTTCATAGAATACATAAAAGACCCCGTAGGGGAAGACTTCGACATTTTCACCAGTATGTTCTTGTATAGCGTTGGTAATGTTGTTACTAATTTCATATGCGTACTTTACAGCTGTTATGTAATCCTTAGACGTTGATAAAGCAGTGTGGTATGCCATGAAGTTAGTGTCATACACATTTGCATTTCCTTCAGAATCAAGAACATAGTTTACTGCACTGTAGTAACTAGCCAGTCCACCTCTATTACAAATATCTGTTGGTTCATCTTGTAAAAAGAATGGGATATACCGTTGAAAAGCCTCCTCAGCAGGTCGAAGACCATTACTCCAGTTACCTCTCGGTACCGAACAATATGCACATTCAGGGGAATTATCAGTACTCTGACAAAAACTACCATCAGTTGTATTGTACTTGCAACAAGCTCCAAACAAATTTGTCCAATCAAAAAAGTCATCCAACCAGGAATTTGAACTTCTGGAAATGTATGTAATATTACTGAAGCGGGAAGCTAAAAATATTTGAGTTGTCAAAGAATCTTCGTTACACAATTGACTTCCGCATATTACATTTTGATGATTTGGATTGCTAAAGTTCAAGCCTCCTTTAAGTACAAAGTACATCGGAGGTCCCAAACGTAAAAGCTCATTGACAGCCAGCAAATACTTGTACACATATGAATCAGCTGGAAGTGCCATCTCCTGATCCAAACCAATCTCAATATGTGGAATCATCATAACACTGGCACAAAGTATAACCGCAAATACAACGACAACAATAACTTTCATGTACCATCTCAGAATAAATTTGGTGTATGGAGCCATCATTCTAGTAAAAATGCTCTTGTATGGTGTTTCAGAATTTAAAGGATCGCTGTCATTTAATATCTTCTTTTGTATGCAACAAAAAACATCGATTCTATTTTGTGAACTTCGTTTGTAATCTAGGGACAGTAGGGCAATAACTGCGGTTATTTGGAAAATAAACAAAAAACCTAATGATATTGAACACAATATTGAAAAGGTTACAACAGCAGGAAAATTTGCTAGGCTACCTATTGCAAAACACGTTATTTGCGTCACGGAAGATACGAACATAGAAGGACCAACTTTAGCCATCATTTTAGAAAACAAAAACTCTCTCCTTTTGTTAAAACTAAAGTTTTCATTATAATCATCGAATTCTTTTAGTTTGTATTGTAAATCGTGTAACGTATTAACCATTAAAAACACGTTATCAACACCTACAGATAACACGAAAAATGGAATAACGTTAATAGCCAGAAGAGTTAGAGTGACATTAGCGTAACCTAAGACACCTACTCCACAGAAGATTGCAGCTATAACAACGATAATACTACCAATTGCCACCATAATTTTACTGTCTATAAACCAAGTCCTACAATATCTTATGTTTCCTAAAGAAATCGTAACGTAAATGAACATGATGACATAACTTATAGCGATAGGTATAGCTTCTGCCTCCGAAACACGTTGAATTTCATCTTCAATGGACCTTTCGGCACCAAACGACACATCTACGAAGTCTGCTTTCCAATTAGCATCATAATCGTGAAGTAAGTCAATAAATTTCTGTTCCCATTCCATAACAGGTTCAAGTTGTTCTTTTAAAAGAAAGTTATTAATAGGCAAGTTAATAAGCAGAGTGTCCGCGGATAGAATATCGTCACCTTCAAAACCACCAAAAACAATCTCCGGTTCAGCACCGCCTCCCCACGATGCTAGACAGTCAAAGGACATGAAACTATTCACACAGTTTTGGATTCGTGTGAGATATGTTTGATTATTTATGTTATGTCTGTCGTCGCCCAGGTAAGTAGTAACCGACATTGAAACGCATTGTTCAAGTAGTTGTTCACCACCGCGGTGCCGAAGCGGCGCATAGCACACTTGCTCAAGAGTCACCCCGTGGTCATCTCTTCCAATGTCTAGGATAGCATCTTCAAGTTTGACTAACTCTTGCAAAGCTTCCACGCGAAATGCTGGCCCGTAGGTAACACCATCAACAGTAAACGGTTGCAGTCCTTTCATTTGTAAATAAACTTGTGCAGCACGGTAGAACGGCCCAAACCTGGAGTTAAAATAATTTAAATGTTCTCGACTGCGTGATTCTGGAGAAGACCATAGCTCTATAGGATCGGTTGTTAGTTGCAGTTTCGCGACGCCAAAGAACATCGCAAAACATATCCATGAAGTTATCATAAGCATTAGGACAGGATTATTTGCAGAAAATGCTCCGATTTTTGAAAATATCCATTGAAAAGATTTTGTTGTCTTATTTATCTTTCGTTTTTTTATTGTATTAGACGATTCTGGCTGTTTATTTCTTTTAAAATCACGTAGAGCCAAGAACCCTACAATCAAAACACACACGACGAGAAACCCGAGTCCAACTGAGAACCCAACACAATGTATAGTCAAAACGGTGCACATATCTGGGGGGGTAGGGTCATTGCCCGTAGGGCATGTGAAAGAACAGTCGATACAGCTACAGGGCAAATCACCTTCTGCCGTTTCATTGCATGCCATTGCGCGGACACTCATCGAGTCTTCTATAGTTTGCGTTCTCAAAAAGTTTACTTGCACCGGTGCCAAAGGATTATTCGTAATGTCTCCAGTAAATCCAAACCATGCACTTGAGTTGCAAACAGGGGCATTTCCGCACATCAAGTTTACTGCTGGCAATCCTGTCTGAGGAACGATGACCCCAGAGCACGAATCAAAGGCATTGTCCATGAAATCCTCATGCATTCTGTAATAAACTTCTTCTACGTATTCTCGTCCATCCTCTAGAGGTAAAGTGTCAATATCTACAAAACGTGCTTGGTCTGGAGAGCAGTTCAATTCGCAAATCTGCCGCACGAAATTTCTTAGGCATGTTGGACACCGGCCGAGAACACCTTCAGCTAATAATAAGTTATCTGCCATTCCTCGTAACTGTGCATAATCACAACACGCCACTATCTCATTATACGGCTTTATTTGTCCATTTTCGTCTAGGGTTAATTCTGGACATCGTAGTAACATTATTCGAATAGCATCTTCCTTTTGTTCACCTGAAAGGTCATCGTTGAGTACGGGTACGGCAGTGCCATTGTAGCGGCAGTTTCTTGGGAATCCGTTGACTAGGTGGCACTCCGATTTCATCACGCATTTTGACTTTACACCGTAACACAAGCACAACACTAATACAAACGTTAGTATGACTTTCATTTTTGCTTCACTTAATTTATTTACTGCGTTACCTTTTCATAGTCAGGTCCATTATAGACAGACCCATATGTGCCGCAGTGACGTTCTATTTGAAATGACCGAAAGTATTGGAACGACGATAATTTAATCCTGCACAAAGTCGAATCGATACGTGTTATCATAAATTAACACAGGTGGGCGATAAAGCATTTTTTCGAGTTTTATCTACAACATTGTATAGAATCTGAACCGATAGAGATTGATGACTAATGGTTATTTATAATAGTGGTCAGTATACAGTT